AAAAATCGGGCCTGCAGGTCTATGATATAAATATATTCAAAATTACTCTTAAAATGTTAGCCTTTCCCCTATAAATGTCTTTCGCGACAAAAAATTTATTTTGTGAACCGGAAACGTAAAAAAATACATCTAAGCGGTTTTGGATAGAGAATTAAATTCTGAGTTCAATGATATAAATATATTCAAAATTACTTTTAAAATGTTAGCCTTTCCCCTATAAATGTCTTACGCGACAAAAAATTTATTTTGTGAACCGGAAACGTAAAAAAATACATCTAAGCGGTTAAATTCTGAGTTTAATGATATAATTATATTCAAAATTACGTTTAAGATGTTAGCCTTTCCCTCTTAAATGCTTTCTCAAATTAAAAATACCTTAAAAATATTATGTTTCTCATTTACTTCTTTATCAAGTAATTACAATATATTTATACTTACTTAATATATAAAATAAAATCATAACCAAATATTATTTTAATTAATAATATTAATTTAAAAATTAATATAGTAAAATTAATTTTTTAAAACCGCAAATATTTCAAAGAATTAATAAAAAAATTGAAAAGATCTTAAGATTTCCATATTTTTACTATATTATAATGTAAAGTTATTATAATATTTTTTCTCTAAAAAAAGCAATCAATCAATCAAATATCTCATTACTAAACATTTTCTTTGTTATTTTTATTTTCAATATTATTTTTTAGCCTTTCGTATTACCAAGCCTTTCGACTTATAGACCTTGCGGTTAAAAAGATTAATATTATTTTTATAACGTTAAAAAGATTAATATTATTTTTACTATATTAAGAAATACTATTATTTTTAATACGTTAAAAAATTTACTATTATTTTTACTACATTAAAATATTTACTATTATTTTTACTACGTTAAAAAAATATACAAGAGGGAAGCAAATTTAATATTGCTTATTTTTTTTAATAAATTAAGAGAAAATCATGCCATGGTATTGTGTAATTTTACCATTAAAATATAAGCATTGGGGAAGAAAATAAAAAAATGCTTATTTTTTTAAAATAAATAAAAGAGAAAGAAATTTTTTTATATAATAATTTTTTCCTTAAATTTTTTAAATAAAAAATTTTTTCGTTTTTAAAATCCTTAATTAATTTAATGTTTAATAATTGTAATTGTATTATTGAAAATTTATTAACATTATCATTTAACTCAAGAAATTTTGATGCGAAAAGATTGATTATTAAAAAAGGAAGATCAAAACCAATTTTACAAAACTTAAAAAAGTAATCAAAAATTGCATCCGTAATTTTTCTATCGATAAATATGATAAATATGAATGGCTCACTGGATGTGAATATTCTAATTCTCTATATTGTTGGTCATGCCTATAATTCCCAAAGGAAAAATATGTTTGGAATGATAAAGGATTTTCGGATATGAGTAATTTTTCAAAGGCAGTTAAATGGCATGAAGAATCAACCGCTCATTTGCAGGATTCAATTATAAACATTTGGCCAAAATCGTATTGAAAATATGATAGATTCGATGCGCAAAATATCAATTGAACAGCATAATTCGAAAGTCAAATCAAATAGAGAAATATTGATCAACTCTATATGTTTTCTTGGAATTCAGGAGCTCGCATTCCGTGGTGATGATGAATCTTCTAATTCAGTAAATAGAGGAAATTATATTAAATTAATTTATATGCTGGCGGAAAAAATTTACTATTGAAATATCATTTAGAAAATAGTATAGTTTTTTATTGGACTATCAAGCGATATTTAAAATGATTTAATAAATTCCATTTCATATGTCTTACACCAAAAAATTCTAAATGAATTAGAAGAAACGGAATTTATATCAATAATATTAGATGAAACAACAGATATCAATAATAAATCTCAACTGGCTGTAGTTCTTTGATATGTTTTAAATACGGGACATTTATGAAACAAAATATTTATTAGATTTAAACGACACTTATTCTCAATTTTTCGACTTACACACGCTGGAAACTGAATTAAAGGTAGTGTTTGGGACGATGAATTTAGAAAGGATAAGAATGTTAATGAAATACTTGAATTTTTAATATGCACCGATTTGATGAAAAGTTTTAAAGAGTTTTTTAAATTATGCAAATTCATCTTAACTTTGGCTTCAACAATAGCAAGTGCAGAACGGAGTTTTTCATCTTTAAAAAAAATCAATCATTGCAGAAAACAGGATGAGTCAAAATCGATTATCGAATCTATCTTTGATTTCGATTGGAAAAAATTATTAAAAAATTTAAAATCTAGCGATAACTTTTATAATGCAGTACTTGATCATTTTACTCAAAAACAAAGACGAATACCACTAATTTATAAATCTTAATGTTTTTATGGTTTGAGTTTGACTAAAATATAAAAATAAAAAATTATTTTTGATTGCTTCCCTAGTAGTAAACTTGACGCTTCGTCACTGCCATAAAGTTATATATATTAATATTAATGTAGTTGTATAAATGTTATTTCTTTCAATAACATTGGTTATATAAGAATGACAACTAAAATAAGTTATAATTTCCATATTTTGAATGAATAATTTTAAATAATGTATTATTGTAATGTAATTGTATAAATGTTATTTCTTTCAATAACATTGATTACATAAGAATGACATATAAAATAAGTGAATAATTTCCACATTTTGAATGAATAATTTTAAATAATGTAATCTAAATCGTCAAATATATTTTAATATTACAATTTATTATATAGAGGAAAAGGAATATATAGGAAAATATATATTTATTATGGAAACATAAAATAAAATACAATAAATATTGGCGACCATTTATCTCTTCTTTTTTTTAAAATTATTTTAAAAAGTTTATTTTATTATTTTGCCATTATTTTGTGAAATTGCATACACATGATTTTATGATAAAATACAATAAAAAGTTAATTTTTGGCTACATTACTACCAATATATGCTAACGAACGATAATACAAAAATATCTGATATACTACAAATATGAACTAAATATACTTCTAAAATCATAATAATAAAATATATTAAAAGTTTAATAACCTAAATAACTAAAGATAATTAATTGTTTCTCTCATAAAATTAAATAGACAACAAAAATATGCCCATGTAACCTCTGCTAGAAAGGAATTCGTCTGGCACTAGAAATGTTACATTTGCGGATGCAAATATAAAAGACGAATTAATAAATTACCATTAAAGGAAAAAAAAAAGATAAAAGCTTATAAAATAATTTGGATATATATATACTAAGAGAATATAGTTTGTTATAGGTAGAAGGCTTCAATATATACATACTAAGAGAATATAGTTTGTTATAGGTAGAAGGCTTCATTACTATTGCCACTTATTTGGTCTAATGTTTTACTTAATAATGTGATATGATAGGAATTTCTCACCAATATCAAGGGTATATTGGTAATAAATAGGATCAATTACATTTACCATGTTCGCATATCTATTTATAGAAAGTTCGGCTGAAGGCATTTCTATTGGTTCGGGTTGCAAAATCAATACAAGTGTAATTCCAAGCTACTGGAAGACCAAGGTATAAGACCGATATTAAAATGATTTGGTTCAAGGTTATTTGGAATATTAGCCATTTTCAGAGTTTTTGAAATCAGGTACATTTGTATGCTTTGTGAAACGACCTCTGGAATGTGTTAAGGATGGTATCCTTTGGAATCTGATGGTATAGCAATGCATTTTGTAGGAAGCGATATATCGCACCCGAGACAAAGCTAAATAGCTATGCGCAGTTCTTTATTGCTGAGAAGAAGACCAAGATTTTGGAATATCCAACAACCATTCATTACTCGATTAAGAATTCATAATAACTTGAATGTGACATTGTTCTAATAAATCACTCGTTAAGTAGAAATCAACGAAGTGACTAGACGAATATCCAAGCTTTCTGGAGAGTGGATGTTCTGCATAGGCCAGGTTGACAATTGCTCTCCCAAGTTTGGAAAGCGTCTTGTATATCTGGATCATGAACGGAAGCTATCATCTCGAAATCTCGAACAGCTTAATCTTGAAGAGATATAAGCAGCAAGAGAGAGAAGATATGGATGACGGAAACTTATCCCGCCATTTTTTTTAAGGAAGAGAGAACCTTGGTGCCATGGCATATTTGATAATTTTATATTAATAATAGTTTCAAGCATGGTACAGATATTATAATATAGCTGACACTAGTGTTGTTGAACGGTTCGTTTTGGACCGATTTTTAAAAAGCGGCTAATTCAATATTTTATAGAAAAATATTACGCAAACCCTGAAGATTTTACTTGCAAAACTGTTATAGATATGGTATTTTGACTATTAATGGGTTAAATGTTGTGAATGTATTGTCATCCAAGCTTTTGAAAAACTTATTTATTTTATTTTTTTTATCTTTATGAAAATTACAAATAATTTATAAAAAAGATATATAATAATTAGAATTTTGTTCTTCTTAACTTTTGTTTTTTTTTACTTGTGATATTTAATCAGGGAAAAAAATGGAAATTTTTTTATTGGTAATGTTTAAGCTCATGATTCAGTATTATATTAATTTATAAGATTCAATTTTTTGACCTGTACCGGACTTGATCCTAAATTTTTATTTACCAGTACCGAATATAGAAAAATATTTATTAACTCTTATTAAGATGTAAATTTAATTCAGTAAAAATCTATTAGTTAAATATTATTTTCCCTTTTTACATTTTAATTCATTAAAATGAGTATATTTCTAAGGTTGAAATCTTAGAGAATTAATCCCAGCAGATTCATAGAATGCCCTCTCTCCAAATATTACCATTTATAAGTAGAAAAGATTTTAATAAACATGAATAATTAAGTGAAACACCAACAATGATGTTGGAGCATCTTGATAGTTTTTAACGTCTTTAAAAAAGTTGTATCAAATGCAAATTTAAGGTAAACAACTCAAATAATATAATTTTTTACAGAAATATATATATATAAATATCTATCATACTAGAGGACATCTCACCCGTTATGCCTCCATTCACGCAAGGACTCCACAAAAATTTGGAAACTTTAAAAGAGGAAGATCAGCGCATGGCCGAAGGCGAAACCAAACCTATAACAATATTTGCAGAGAAAAAAGTAAATATTCTTTAATTTTAATACCACTATATTGCAAGCAATTTGGATTTGGAGTTTTTTAATTTTTAAATAAAAGCTATACTTGTTTCAAAATATTAAAACTTAAATTTAAAATATTACAAAATTTAAAAAAAAATATTTTTGTTAAATTTTTCATTAAACGAAGTTTATCACGTGTTTTTCTATAAAGTTTTAAAAGTTTTCGATATTATTTTTTTAACAGTGCAATTATTGAATATAATATATATGGTAGTAATAATTTACAAAGATATATCACGCGACACTTTATCATACGACACTTTATCACGCGACACTTAATCACAACGACATTTTATCACAGCCACACTTTATAACGACTTCACTTTATTACTCAGTCATTTGATAACGCGACACTTTATCATGCGATAGTTGAACACGCGACATTTTATCATGCGACATTTTATTATGGTATACTTAAAACTTAATATAATATATTTGAAAAGTTAAATTTTATTAATATCTTATTTTTGACTTTTATGTTTGAATTCTGATATTTAAAAAATTTTTATTAATTTTTTTTGTATTAACTCATATTTTAATTTTCATAAATATTATCAAATCGAGCCGTTTAACAACACTAAGTTCCATCATTTTTCTTCTTTTTCATAAAAGTTTGAATTTGAAATTCAACTAACAATATGAATATAATTTTCAAACGAATATTTTAAAGATTTATTTTAGAATTTTATCTAGAAAAGCACCATTTTATTTATTTTATATTTAAAATCCAATTTTATTTCCAAAATTTGTCAAATTTTTAGCCAAAAATATTTTTAAAATCAAAATTTTATGTCCTTTAAAAATAAAGAAACAGGAGACATAAGCAATAAGAATGATTTCAATTTATACTTATTATTAATAAGTAACTATAAATCAATACATCACGAGTAAAAAATATAAATTATTTACAAAATCACCCCACTTAAATTTTCTTACGCATGATAAGGTATCGTCGTGATAAAGTGTCGCAAGATAAAATGACGCGTAATAAAGTGACTGAGTGATAAAGTGTCTTCGTGATAAAGTGTCGCCGTGATAAAATGTCGTCGTGATAAAGTGTTGCATGATAAAGTGACGCGTGATAAAGTGACTCCAAATCATATACCCATATATTAGTGTTGCTTATTGTTAAAAACTACCCCTAAGCCTAATTAGGTTTAGCCGAAAAATCGGATAACGACACAAAGAGATTTTCTTAACCCTCGTCTGGCTAACCAAGAAATTGTTGAGCATAATAAAGTCTATTACGCCCTCAATTTATTTGTTGCCTCATCAAGAATCACATTATGAACGTTCAATCATATATATGATAATCATAATACAATCCAAATAAACTGTAATACAAAATGTATGAAATATAATAATATATTATATAGCATTTATCACATTTTCCCACACTTAAGATTTTAAAACTCCTCAATCAGACGATGTGTAGGCTACCTCGATCGTTCTAGTTCCCGAAGTAATGAAGACATATTCTCTGGACCCGAATTTTGTCATTTCCATTTCGCCATTTCTTCCTCTATAGGTAGTCCTTCTACATTTTCCAAATTTTCGACTCCATATTTTCTTCCTCTCTCCCTGACTTCCCCATTTCTTTCACTACATCCAGTTTTCTTATATGATTAGCATCTTTTTGTATCGTTCTCTCTTTACTTTACCGAATAGTAGAATCTACCATTTTAATTATTCTTTCTCTCCACCTTGAATTGATTTCATTATATACCCATACAGGTTGTTGAATTCGTTTATCATGAGCTGCTTTTTGTCGCATATTAGATCGTTCCATCTCATCCTTAACATTTGGATGTGACCAATCTAATCCAGTTTTTATATTACTCCCCAACAATAGTTTTGCCGGTGAACGTTCAGTTGGATTGATGCTCGCCTATTCTGTATGCTGTGAAAACCTCTCCTAGCTTCCTTTGGCTACTTAATATCTTTTCTAGTGGCAAAATCGACTTTTAAGTGTTCATATTGTTCTTTAGCTAACCAATTCATTTTGGAGTGGTAAGGTTTTGAATATATTTATTTATATTTTTCTCTAAACATATTCTCCGAAATTCTCCAGAAATAAACCGAGGGCCATTATCTGACTCGATTTGACTTAGCGTTCCAAAACGTGCTAACCATTTCCTTAGCACCCTGATCATTTTTGTAGACGTGGTCTCTCTCATCAACTCGATCTCAACCCATTTAGAATATGCATCAACTCCAACTAATTATTAATATGAATCGATAGGTCCCGCGAAATCTAAATGAATGCATTCCCATGGCGTATTGTTCCACGAATATAAAGGAACCTCCATTATATGCAACCGGTTACTTTGACATGGAGTACATTGACGAATATGTTGTTCTATAGCTTTATCGCAATTAGGCCACCAACAATACATTCTAAAAATTGATTTCATAGCATTTATTCTTGAATGCCCCATGTGTATGATAGTTAATATTGATTTCCTCAACACGGTTGGAATAACCAACTTTCCATCATTGACATCTTGATCTACTGATAATTTCTCTTGATCTACTGATAATTTCTCCCAACGATTCCTAAGACAAACACATAATTTTTCATCAAACCCCACCCATCTTCACTCGATGTTTTCAATTGCTTTATTTAGAAACCTATCTTTCCTTGTTTCTTGAGTTCAACTTGACCAAAATTTATAGAGCAAATTCATAGCTCTAATTTTTAATGCATGTTTCTGGTCGATATTCGAACTCCATATTTGTTACTAGAAGTCTAGATAATATATCAGCCATTATATTTTCTTTTTCTGGACGATATTCAATTTCAAAATCATATGCGGACATTTTCCATCCCCAGCGTGTTAATCGACTATTTGATATTTTTGGTAATTCCTGCTTATTACTAAATAATTTTTCCAAAGATTTATGATCTGTTTGCAATATAAATTTTCGTCCAAAAATGAAAGATGAAATTTTTATATTCCAAAAAAGGTGCTCATGCCTCTTTTTCTATTGGTGCATTATTTTTCTCTGGCTCCATTTGTGTCACATTCTAATATGATTGGTAAGTCTGGTGAATAAGGAATTAAAGAGTTATCAGTTGACAAAAGCTGCTTTATTTTATTAAATACATCTTGCTACCTCTCAGACCAAACCCCATGAACTCTTAATGTTTGTTATATGCAGCGGAGCGGCTATACCATTTAAATATGGTGAAAATCTCTCGTGATAATTCACAAGTACTAAAAAAGATCGCAATTGATGTATATTTTTTAAGTTATATCATGTTTTAAAAATTTTGTAACATGGTACCCCGGATTTTTACCTTGAAAAGGGGTACATTTATTTTTTTTATGTAAAAATAATATTGGGCGTAAGGAATTATTATTATTATTTTGTTTAAAAATCGAAATATATGGATTAACCCACATCTATCCAATTATCCTTGAATCCCTGTCTGATGGCAAAAGACCAGATGGCCTTACAAATGTCCCTTAATTTAGTGGAAAACATATTATTTTGAATCACCTGTGACATCCAGTTTTCCCCCAACCCAAACTATTACAGCTGAGAGATCGAAAATCAGAAGTATCACGATTTTTAATATTTTATTTCACCTCAATACTTATTTCTACTAATGGATCCCCCTAGGCTACACTTTTTTAAGATTTATTTTAGGTAAAAAAATTCTTAAATCAATGGGGATAATGGATCCTCTTTTAAAATTTTACATTCAACCCAAATAACTTTTTCAGGCAGCATTTTAGTTTTTCGGATCAATTACGGCCTTTTTTTTTAAAAATATCTCATTGTTTTTTTTAATATGGCTTTTAAATTTTATTTTAACCCTGTATTGTATGGACGTATTTATAACTTAGTAAACTTAAATAACCAATGTGATTCCTTATCTCTATGCTTAAGTAAAACCATTTTATTTTTTTAAAATTATACAATTGTATAATCTCATCATTATAATATAAATAATATTTACTTCATATGAAAATCTGTAAAACAATTATGATTTGGCGTGAAACAAAGAGCCACACTACATTTTACATAACTAATTTCTGTAAATTATACTTTTACCAGTGTGCCATTCCTGCCTTATTTCCTTTTAAGGAATGGTATTGTTTCCTTGGCTAGATTTTTTTTGGAGCCCAGTCTTGATCGATGTACGTTTACCATTTTTGTAACTGACTTGTTATAAAATCATATATAATTTTCTGCTACTAAACTTAAAATCTAAACGATTGGATTCCTTCACATGTAAATTTCTGGATTTATAATCCCATTGATATACATTATGAAATAGTTATATAATTATATTTTATATTTTTAAGCATATATTGTCGCAATCATAAACAAAATAAAAGATGTAAATAAATATAATAACAATTTTTGTGTGTGACGTTGGACATCCCCTCTTGGTTAGTGAAGCAATAATCTCAGTGTATTAATAACTGGTTTGATCCGGTTTTGTTTACCCTAAGATAAAAACCAGGATAGCATTTCAAAAAAAACGATTGTTTATCAAATAGAACAAACTTTTCAAAAAACTTAAACATAGCACTCCTCCTCTCTTAATATGTTGCAACTTTAGGGTTTCTATTGGTGGGCCTGATGAAGGGTTATCTCCCACCTCTATGAGCTTAGATCCTCAGTTGAGTAAAATCCCCTAATTTTAGCTTAGCCTGGAGTGTTTTAGAAGGAAAATAAACTATAAAAACAATCGTAAGGGGATGTAAAAAAATCTTGTTATTAAAAAATATTAACCCAAACTGAATGAATACAAAAATAATATCCCCCTCCCTTGGCGTATGTTTACAGGGTAAAAAGGCCGGTTATTAGGAGTTTTCCTTTTTATAGGGATTTAGATGGTGTGATTGATACCTCGGTAGTAAGTGTAACGGAGTCTATGTACGTGGATTAGCTGATATTAATATCATTTTTAAACGGTGTTTGCTAGTATGGATGCTTGTCATCGG